CATGAACTGTGAAGTTCCCTACAGCAGCAGCAAGGCTGGCCCTGCCTAAGTCAGAAAGGGGCAGCTAGTGCAGAGTTGAAGTGCTTTGAAATCTCCTATTCATGCCTGAGAAAAAAGTTAGACATGGAGAGCAACGGGTGGAGAAAGTGAAGGCAAGCAGGAAACAAAGAAAGGATGAGAGAGGTGGAGTAGCATTTTTTTTTCCAGATATTATATTAGGAGCCTGGTTCTTTTCTGGGTTTGGCACAAACTCACTGTTTGACTTCGGGATCCACATCCTAACACTCAGGCCTTAATTTCTTCATCTGTTCTGAGGTAAAATGAATGAATCAGGCCTCCCCTGTTCCGTGGAGGTCATCACTGTATAAAGGCTAAAATATGCAGTAAAAATCTGAAGATATTATGTATAAGATAGATGAAATGATGGGTACCAGGTTGTTACTGGGGGAGTGCTGGATAACGAGTGGAAGTACAGGATGGAAAATATTGGGCAGTGGAGGTGCAAAAGCCCTCAGTGCTTGATCTGCTTACTCTCTGAAACAGTCCATATCAAGGGAGTCGATCTACTTTTTTTTATTTCACAAATTTCCTGATCTTACAGTGGCAACTTTTCCTTAATAGTCTGCAGGTAGGGCTTGGACAACTTCCAGGGGTGTTTGTTTGTTTGTTTGTTTGATTTTGTTTGTTGTTGTTGTTGTTTTAAAGATAGTAAAGCACCTTTCTTGCTTACCCTCCAGAATTATTTCCTACCTTCCTGTCTCCCGGGTACAAGTGAGTGAGAAAAAGGCCTGCTCCAGCTGTGATGTCACTATTGCTGGTGACCTGGAACAAAAGATAGGCTGAAAAGGGAGAGTAACAGCGGAGTGGGATCTGTTTGATCTCTTTTAATTTGTTGCCTTTGTCCTTTAGTGGAGTACAATTGTGTCATACATTCTGTTCTTCAGGGCTTTAAATAGTTTTAGACATCAACATTATTCCCTCATTCCTCTTGAAGACAATGTACAGCCTGATTAGTGATTTATCACTTTTCTTACTGTGGCTATTATATTAGCATTAGTATTAGTATTACTTTTTAAAGAAGTTACTCATCTTACCATTAACAGTTCTTTATTTCTCCAGCAATATCCTACAGCTGACTTCCGCACTGAACCATTTCATCCCCCTTTTTGGTGGAAATGCCTTTACCAACTGTTTTTTACTCTTAATTTCCACATGCACACATCTACCTGTGGTGTGCAACTGCTGATCAGTCATATTCACCTTACGTTCCCAGTGCTGCCAAAGTTTGAAGTGGTAACCAGTGTGCCAAAGAGGATCTCTTTCTTTGATGAAGAATTGAAGGTCAACGTTTGCGCCTTGTAAGTATCAGGGCTGAGAACAACACATATGCGGTCAAGAAAGGTGAGCTGAAGGATGGTGTGCTATGCTGGGAAATGGGAACACTGCTACTGATTCAATGTGTGAACTAGAGCAGTTCCTTTAACTACTACTTCCATGACAGGAAATACAACGATAACTCTCCACCTGCTACATAGCACAGTTAGAACTGGGAGGGTTTGTGTTTGCCCAACAGTTTGAAGGTATCAAGCAGTACATACCCACTAGCTGTTGTTTTTTATTATTACAGAAAATGAGAGAAATAGTATAGCAGTAGAGTCTAGCGTTAAGATCACTGGCTATGGTAGTGCTAAAGGTCAAGGTCGGATGAGTCTGGGCACCACGGGATTAATGAGAGCATTTTTGTAGTACATCCTGCTTTGTGTAAAGTGCTTATGAGAAAAAGCAAACAGCGGGGAATGAAATTCCAGCCCTGAGCCCACCATTACCTTCCAGCTTCAGACTTTAAGGAAAGGTTACATCACAGGCAATAGCACAGCAGGCTTTTTTGACGAGACCCCAGAAGCAGCCTAAAAATAGTCAAAGGGAATTCAGCAAGGGCTGACTGGTTCTGATATCCAGCTGCTCTTCTGTCTGTGCTCTGGGCACTCTTGAGGGGTTTAGAGTATGCATTGCTCTGCAACCTTGACAGGCGTCATGATAAATTCATGACTGGGTTCTTGTATCTCCTCCTCTCCTAGGTACACTTACGGCCAGCCTGTGCAAGGGAATGTTCGAATCAGTGTGTGTCAGCAGCACTTTTATAGTGCACGATGTGAGCAAAACCAGAAAGAAAATTGTGAGACTGTCACTGCACTGGTATGATACAGGGCAAGACCTTTCTTCCTAGTGAGCTTTATTACCCAACATGTAACATAGTGATTGGAGGCCTCATTCACTTCCTGGGGAACAACAGAGAAACAATGCCCCAGGCATATGTTTTCTCAGTGTCTCACAGACAATGCTGAAAGACCATGGGGGTAGATTTTCACAATGACCTCATTAAGAGACTTTGTTTTTATGCACCTCCCTTTCAACAAAGTGGTGGTTGGGGTTGGGGCGGGAGTGGGGGGGAACATACCATTCATTAGAAATTTTAATACTATCTCAGAAAGATCAGTAGAAGAGAGGGAAGTTTATGAAGCTCTGAATTTATATTTCCTAAAACTTTTGAGCTGTATTCTTACAGAATATAATCAGCGCACCTCTGTTGGGAGTGTTTGAGGTCACTTAGTGTTAAACTAATGATGAATTTCTCCACTTGCTTAGGCTCAAACTGAGCTTTGCTGAGAGAGCTCAGGCATCATATAAGATGTATTTGAAAAGGAAGCTGAGGGCAGAGAGGTTTATGGGAAATGAGGAGAGAGGGTTCCAGGTGCAAGAATAGTTCATAATGAAACAATGAGCTGAGAGGGCAGCCAGGGAATGAGAAATGTGAGGTAGGAGGACAGTGAGTAGAAAGTAAGAGCTGAAAGAAATGTAAGCAGAGGCATGAAGACCTTTGGAGACCCACTGATACAGGTTGAGGAGCAGTTGTCCAAACCTTGAGAAAATTAACTTTCCTCTTTGTGCTCTTTTTCAGTTGGGCAGAAATGGCTGCCTCAGCACTGTCATTTCCACCAAAACCTTCCATCTCTACCGCAGCTATGCCAAGATGTTTGCTAGTCTCAGCGTAGAAACCACTGTCACTGAAAATGGGACAGGTAACACCAAGTGGAGGTTGGGAAGCAGCTCAGTGAAGCTTAATAGGTGGAACTTTCTGAAAGGAATCCCTTGAATCCTAACCCATGCAGCAAACAATGATCAAGCTCGTTCCTCAGAGCAGAGCAGAACTCTTCTTTCAGAGCTTCACTGCTCCATATAAACTTTCAAAAGAAACAATTATCTTCCCATGTCTAATTCCTGTTTCCTTCTCTTCACACTGGGTGTGTCTCACAGGTATTCAGATGAAAGACTCTGCCTATGTTCCAGTTGTCCAAGAAAATGACAGAGTGATGTTCAAGAACATGGATCGCTACTACAAGAGAGGAATTCCTTACTTTGGTCAGGTGGGTGGCTGAGAGGGTACATCCAGAGCAAAATCTCCATGAGATCCAGCATAATTTCTTTGTTGGCCTATTTATGACCATCCTCTAATTCTATACTGACAATTCCCTTCAAAATGTTGCATGACAGTGACTACTGTATAGTTTTCCCAACAATTTTCATTTCCTGCTTCTAGAGAAAATAAGAAAATTATATCATAAAACCTGTAGTGTTGGGGGGCTCTTTTCAGCCATGATTACATAATGGCTAAGAGGTAGGATAATGAAAGGTCATATCAGTGGAGAAGACAGATCCATAAGAAACTACTTCAGCAACAGCTGTGCTGAAGGCAGAATTTGCTCTACATTGCATCACAGTCCTGTGGCTGTTTGCTTAAATCAGTATAGCTATTGGAACACATTTCAAATTCTTCCTGACCTGCACACCCAGGATAAGCCCAGGCATAGGAGGAGGATGAGCCCTACAACACTGTCCTGATACGCAGTGGGTGGGTGTGGAGGCCAAGGAGTTAGGAAGTGCTACAGAGCCCCACAGTTTGCCTGTGGCCATGGAATCATCTGATTGCTTCAGGTTTGTGAATCAGTGCCCTCCAAAGAGTGTGTGCTCTGGAGTCCCTCTGTCTCTATTTGCTCAGGAAGGGAGAGTATAAGGCAAGAATTTAAACTATGATGTCTCACACAGTGGCTTTTAACTTATATGATGGCCCACTGAACTAAGTCTTTGGAGGATCACAGAGGACTTCTCATAAGAAGAATCTTCTATACCATACCATGTATATAAACCATACCTTCTCCCTCTGTGGCACAAGGTTTGTCCCTGCACTGAAAAGAATTGCCTCTCTTTACTTGTCACAGAGTTCCTGCTCCTTCAAAATATTGAGGGACATGTGACTTTAATACATTTCACTATAGATTTCTACTCCCTGCAGTTGTCCTAAGTGCCTAACTGAGTGTCCTCTGATTAGCAGAGCTTTTCCTGTCTTTTTTTTTCCTGAATTCCTTGAGTATTTGTGTTCAGGTCACTGTGACAAATGTGGATGGCATGCCCATTGCCAATAGGATTGTCCTGCTGGAGCTCAACGATGAATATATTGCAAACTATACCACAGACAAGAATGGCACTGCTGCCTTTTCCATCAACACCTCCAACTTCTTTGATCCCAGTCTTAAGCTGAGAGTAAGTAACTGCAGGACCCAGTTTAATTACCAGAATACTTCAATTGGGAGAGGGATTAGAAGCAAGTGAGTGGGTGTTGGCAGGATTATTTCAGGTGAGGAAAGTAAGCAGTCATTTCTTCAACAACCTACAGCCTGTGTGAAACTTATATGAGGGAACATCAATGCCTGAGGAACGGCAAGACTGCACCACAGGAGTGTTTGGGCTCTAGGGATTTTCAGCATCTCCCTACTTTCTCCTTAGCTCCTTTCTGTAGCCATCTTCTTTCTCTTTATTCTGTGTGGTATAGGACTTTCCTCACAGCCTGCTTGGCCGTCCACACCCAGCCTGGATGCATGTCAGCTTCTTTCCCTGCTGCTGCCTGCTTCCTGCATTCCCGCTGACACCATAGTCTTCTCATGGTCTCATGCCTTTTCTCTGGTGTCAGGGGAAGAGCTTGAAAGACAGCAGAAGCAGGCTGTTTGAGATCAATGCTGTTCTTTCAGCAATGACCCCTAGCAGCTTACACAACCTGTCCCAGTTTGATAAGGATCTGAAATTACCTCTCTACTGCAATATGCCATAGATGTCTGGATGCATTAACGTCTCCAGAAGGATACATTAAGGTCTCCTCCACTCTGGACTTGTTGAGCAAGCAATTTTCATACCAGCTCCTGCTCTTGGGTTAAATAGCCCCACAAGATAAGCTTCCACACAGAATATTCTAGACAAGGGAGGTGCCTTTGCCTCACACCTGCCTGCTAACATTTTATTTTCCGCTTGGTTGATTCCCATGTATTCCTCAGGCCAGACAGGCACCAGATGGCTGTATAGACTTTCCTATGTGGACAAACCATGATGAGCCCCATGCCTTATTCTCTGTCCGGCGTTTTTACTCACGGACCAACAGCTTTGTGAGGATCGAGCCAGTGCAGGAGAAGCTAAGCTGTGGCCAGCAGAGAGTAGTCAATGTTCTCTACGTCCTGAACAGAGAGGGGTATGGGAATGCCATGTACACAAACTTCTATTATGTGGTAAGTGCTGAGTGCTACCTTGATTCCTGAATGTCTCTTTCCTTTCACCTTTCTTGAGCACCATATAAGGCAGAAATCTTCAGGCCAGCCAGCAGCTACAAATTGTAGCAAGACTTAACGGCCCTTGAAGCCTATCAGAACACCACTCAAAATGAAAGATTTCACTGGGAGAAGGGAAGAAGTGCTTTTGATTCTGTCTCATGTTTTTTCTATGTCCAGGTGATGACAAAAGGAAAAATTGTTCTCAGCGGCCAGCAGCAAGTCAGTATTTCTGATGGTAAGTTCTGGGCCATATTATTACTGATGCTCCAGAGGACCATAACATTAGTACGAACTAACCAGAACATTATTCTGAGCACCAGAACATTAGTAAGTTATGTGAGATGGGACGAAAGTAGAGAACTGCAGCCAAATTAGATATAGTTCTGAAAACCCATCATCCATCACCACTCACAGTATCATTAGCTTTTGCTGCACTGAGTGGTCACTCAAGTCACATCATATGATATGACATCCCAATCTTCCCTGAGTGGAAAACTAAAACTTTTTAAAGACTGAGAATGACAGATATCCTGTTTGACAGGGGTATTTGGTAAATTACTGCTTTGGAATTCATTACAGTTCAGAAGTCTCCAAATATACGAGTGACAAGGAATATGATCCTACTGATCACAACAAACTGAACTCTGTTCTTTCATTGTTAAATATAATTTATTTCAGAAGCAGGTCTATTTCTAACCTGTCTTCAGTAGGTGGCTTATGTAGGCCTCATTCCACATATAGGACTTAATCATTGCTTAGTATTTGCCGTCCTTAGTCCTTCTTCAGGTGTTCATGACTATGGCTACACAGTATATGTTCCCCTATGGTACAGGGAGGAGCATTTCACTTACCAAAAGGCAGAAATATTATATGATTTTCCCTTCAGAAAAATGGCTTTAAGTGATGGGGTTTTTTGTTTTGTTTTGTTTTGTTTTCATATTATTGATGGCACTAAGGTCTGTGATAGAGTGAGACTCACCAGTACATATATGAAAGCTTAGTACTCTGTCCCTGCTCTAGAGGTTGTCCTCCAAGTTGACAACAACCTCTTATTTTTGGCATTAAGAGAGACCTCTCATAGGTCAGGAGATAGTCCTGTCTCATCTGGTATAGGAGGTTCTACAGAACCTCCTTTGAGATTCAAAGACAATCTTGTGCTCTGCTTGTAGCAGTCATGCACAAGATCATGCACATGGAGAGATTTCTCTGTCCAACTTCTGCTCAGCTCAGACCTCTCTCCGCAAAACACCGTGCTCTCAGCATCCTCCAGTTTGTATCTGGTATCTTGCTGATGGGAGCTGTTCCTCAGCCACTAAGAGATGGATCTCCCAGTATTCAACTTCTCTCTTTTAAGAGGTGCTGTTAGGTTATGGACAAACATATGATCTTTCTACCAAAGCTCAGGTTTGCCTAATCTCTTTTGTTGACTTCCCCCCTTATTCTGTTTTCTTTGCACAGCTCACGGAGGCACATTCTCCATCACACTGACTGTCACTGAGAAGTTTACCCCCAGTGCCAGACTGCTGCTCTACACAGTGCATCCTCACGGGGAGATAGTGGCTGACAGTTCTTGGATACGCAGCGATGTATGCTTCAAGAACAAGGTGAAAATGTTTGCTTTCTTGTGAAGGACTATACTGGCTAGCTATTTGCTGAGTGAAAAGTCAAGGAATGACTTCATCAACAGCCCTGCTCTCAGGATGGCCTTTACAAGTGGAAGAGGTACAGATGTGTACCTCTGTACAGAACAGGAGAAGCTATCCCTTGAATGGACGTGTATGCTGAAGTTCAGACTAGGCTTTCAAAGAAATGGGGAGAGGGAGATGGTGAGAGGATTACACATCTAATCCAAGTGATGTGTATTTTCACAGGAAAAGGATTCAGGAGGACCATTTAGTGGTAGGAGTTCTGCCCCATAGAGAATGTGTGTGTGATGGTGAAAGATGAGTTTCAGCTCTATGCACCCAACTGATTTTCTTAATTTTTCTGTGGTTCTCTTGGATTTACTCATTTCCAGCTCCAGCTCCAGTTCTCCAAGAAGGAGGGTCTCCCAGGCTCTAACATCAGCCTCCACCTTGAAGCTGCTGCCAACTCCTACTGTGCCTTGCGCGCTGTAGATAAGAGCATCCTTCTCCTTCAGCCTGAGCGAGAGTTCTCTCCTGAGACTGTAAGCCATATTCCCAATTCTGTGTTCTTTTGACCTAGGGACATCCTGAATAACACTTCCAGGGACCAGCTTCTGATCTCTTTGGTGCTGGTTCTGTTTATCTTTTCCCCCTGTAAAAAGACATCTCAGTGATTGAAACAAGGTCTACAGGAGTTGTGTACTTCAAAACTAGAAATTAGGAGTGGAATATTTATTTTTGGAAAGCACAGAAGTGTAAAACATGTCTTAAGACTATGCCTACTGTATATCATTTAACACATAGTCCTACTCTGAGGAGTGATTACGTCAAAATCACATCTTCTGACTCAAATAGGCCTCGGTCCCAGACCAAATACTATGGAAATCCCTTAGAGTCTTGCCAGAGTCCAGTCTCATCCCTGAATACCTTAGCAGTATATCTTTTTGGTTGTTGATCATGTTCAAGCCACAAAACCATTGCAGCTCAGAAAAAAGGGGCCAGAGGCCAGTCCTTCTCCTGCATCACCAGTAAAATTGCCTGTTCATCTCTAAGTAGACATCACTGTGCAAAGCCATCATAGGCTATGGGATTGCTCGGGGGCCATCATGAGTTTAGATTCTAAGTGAGAAAGGAGCGCAGGAAGAAATAAACTCACATGATCAAAAAAGAAGTCTTGTGTTTCTGAGAAGTGACAAACAGAGGCCTTGCTAGTGCCGTGCTTTAAGAGAGTCAGTTTGCTCTTAAAGTAGGAGGGTGGATATGTGCTGTGCAAGGAGAAAAGACTACACTGTAATCCCAGTCTCTAAGATAGTTTTAATGAGTTTTCTTTCTCCTTTTATCAGCCTGCAGTCATACTGAAACAGCATTTTTTTGTGGTATGATAGAGCCCTTATGTTATACCACTCTGTCTTGGAGCTGGCTAACAACTAGTCAAATGCTTTGGTGAAGCACTATTTTGCACCTGCCTGGAACCTTTCATTATGATAACATGAGTCATTCCCACCTCCCAGGTGTACTACCGGCTTCGTGTGAGTGATTTGTATGGCTACTACTACAATGGGCTCAACCTGGAAGATGACAAGCCAGAGCAGTGTACACCAATCAAAACAACTTTTTTTGATGGCTTGTATTATGAACCTGTGAATGTCAGCCATGATGGTGATGTCTACAGGATTTTCAGGGTATGTATTCTGCATGATTCCTTAAGCAGGAGATATTCCAGATGAATTCATGTGCCTTAACATTAACTTGCTCAGGTGGTGGCTTTTACTGCTAAGAGAAAGGGGCTATTCTCTGGAACTGACTAAGGTCTCCAACCATCCAGTTCCTGCCTTCTCACCTCCACCTCTTTTCTCGGGGAGGCTGAGAATCACTGTTAGATATATTCAGTGGGATCCTGCCCATGCTTCAGTAGACATTTCCTAAGCAGGACTATGACCTTGACTTATGACCTTAGGCACTCTTAGTGAAAGTCTGAGTCCATGATGCGTACTGTTTGTTTCCTGATGCACTTCCCTCCACTCCCATTGGCCCCAAGTCTCATGACTCCCCTTGTCCAGTTGCAAAGACCTAACATGCTTTTCGCAGAACAGTAGGTCCTACTGCTCCTTGGGAAAGAGCCAGAGGTAAGAAAGGAAGAGTGGTTTGTGACTTTCAGGTTTGAAAAGGCAGGATGTGAGGAGAGAGGAGGTGTGTTAACCTAGATATGAGAAGTAGTAACATGATTGATTATTTTATATTCAGGATATGGGCCTAAAGGTTTTCACTAACTCTATGTTACGGAAGCCGGTTCTGTGTCAAGCAGACAAGTCAGACCTGGAAGATGACCGTGTCTATGCTGATTATACGCCCAAGTTTGTCAGCAGTGGCAGTGGCTCTGGCACAGGTAAAAGAAGATTCGTGCCATGTCTCCAGTCCCAGTCTGCCTGCTCTTTCATACTTTTGCCTGCGTAAAAGAACAGTTTCTTTGGGGATAGGTCTCTGTGTCACAGTTTTCCTCAAGTAATCTCTTGCAGAACTGAAAAGTCAGTTCTCTCTCGCTTAGCTACAGGGTGCATATAGAAAAGACAGGGAATACTGAGACTCTAATTCTTCCATAAGTCAGTATTAGTTTTTCAGGGTTTTTCATGATAGAACCTTTCACCAATTCAATTAAATGATTAAAAGGAAATGGTAAAGCAGAAAAATAATGGAAATTCCTGCTATAAGAATTCATGGGGCACTTTTAGCATACTTAGCACATAGTTTCCAAAGCACTTTATAGATGGGCAAGAATTTTCATTATCTTTCTCTAAGTCAGAGTTGCACAACAAAATGCCAAAAGTAACAGTTGTAGGTTGCCACGAGGGAAATTGCTATTCAACATGAGGAAAAAGTTATTCCCCATGAAAGCTGTGCTGCACTGGGACAGGTTCTCCAAGAGGTTTTGGAATCTCTGTCCTTGCAGGTTTTCAAAACTCAGCTGGACAAGACCCTGAGCAACATGATCTGACCTTGAAGTTAGTCGTATTTTGAGGAGCTTGGACTACAGACCTCCAGAGGTTCCTCTTAATCTGAATTTTTCTATGATTTTGTGATTCTATGATTTTAGTCCAGCAAAATAAGGAAGTATAATTATTTTGATGTTATGGCTAGGAAATCTAAGGTTCCTCCATGCTAAATGAGTTGTTTGACATCACAAGCAAGGCAAAACCGGAAAGCAAATCTAGGTCCTCAGTCTCAGCCTTGTATTTTGACCATTTGAGCCAAAGTTGTTTTCCAATGGCATGTATATTCAGCACTATTTTTAAATACTGTACAGGGTAAGAACAACTAAGTTCTTGGGAAAGTTTTAAAGCAGTATATGCTTTGGTGACAATACTGGGTCCTGTTGCCCATTTGCAAAAAGAAGAGAGCTAATGGTAGAGGAGAGGGAACCTGCCATCCTAACTGGATGATAAGGCCTTCTAATATGAAAAAAAGTGAACTGTCATTTGAAATACTAATTTCTCCATATTTCCCCCAGAAAAAGAGACTAAAAAAGAAATTGTTTCTTCTCACACCCTCTATCTTGTTAGAATTTTCTTTTTTTAGGGGAAAAAAAAGAACAGAAAAATGTTCAAACGGGATACTTTGTGTTCATTCATGGTGTTGAGCATGTCACAGGTCAGACCTTATTTCACTAGTTACTGCTATCCTGACCTCTCTAATACTACACTTTAATCATACACACTCTCCCTAGATGAGGGAAGAATTAGTGGTGGCCCTGTTAACAGTGTTCGGAAATTCTTCCCTGAGACCTGGATTTGGGATCTGGTTCATACTGAGTGAGTATTTTCACTTTCACTGCTTTCTACCTCTCTTGTGGCTTTCTGAGTTAATGCATGCTGAATGAAATGAAGGTTGTGAAGGAGCTGTGGAACACTGTAGATCTGAATCTTCTCTACCCATCTTGGTCAGTGACAGTTGCGCTCCCAGCCTTTTATGCTGTGTCAAACTTACCTGAACAGTGAATCTAACCTGCTCTGTGCTCTGTCTCCCACCCTCCTGATGAGGAGAAAGAATAAGGGCTAATGGTATAATAACAGCATCTGGTTAGGAAACATCAGGAGCAAAACCTTTGATTTTTCATCATATTTTTAATTTTCATTAGCAGAAAATTTAGGTTATTTTGTTTTTCTTTTCATTATACCATCTGCAAAGAGAATATCTCCATCTTAACTGTGCATCCATGGGCTGTTCTAGAATATTAATCCCCGGCTATTGGTTCTAATCTGTTGGTTGTTTTTTCTTTTCTTTTCTTTTTCTTTTTTTACAGAACTTTAGAATATTGTTGTGCAGCTCTTTTAAACAAATGGCATCTATTATTTTTCTAAATTTAAAAAGCCCAGTATTTTTCCCCCAAGTGCTTTTTACACTTAGTTCACCAGCATGAACCTTCATCTTTATTTCCAGCTTGATAATAGCTCTTTTAAATATGGAAGGGTATCTTGTAGAAACTAACGTGAAAACAGAAGCTCTAACTCAACCAGAGACCCTATTCTATATTTGTCTTGAAAACGGTGAAGCTCATTTCTTGTTCTGCTTTTCTTACATTCCTCAGTTCCAATGGAGAGACCAATATCTTCTTCACCATTCCTGATGCCATCACAGAATGGAAAGCCAGTGCTTTCTGCTTGCAGGATGACGCTGGGTTTGGCATGTCCTCAACTGTTTCGCTAACAGCATTCCAACCATTCTTTGTTGATCTCACCTTGCCCTACTCTATAATTCGAGGGGAAAAGTTTAATTTAATAGCCAATGTCTTCAACTACCTTGACAAATGCATCCAGGTACATGAAGTCCCTCTTTATTTCCTTTATGGTTTACGCATTTCCCAGAGTTCACAGCATAGTTCCAGCTTCTTGCATAATGCATTAGAAATGCAGAAATGAGTGTTTTATTTGTCCTGTAGCCTAACACATTCCTCTCCCCACTCTGTCCCAGGACTTATCCCTGTGTCATAACATTAGGAAAGTGTGACTGATGATCACTGTGGCTGGTCCACAAAAGATGAGAGTCTGCTACTATTTCCTAGATAATTCAGTTCTTCCTTGTACTTCTGAAGGAGGGACTTGAGCAGAGAGTACTGGTACTGTACTGCGCAAAACAAAATACACACTGAATACGTAGTATGTAGCGATAGCTCATATGAAGACTTGACTGCTAACATGAGCACAGACACCCTGGGATTGCTGTGTTAAAAACAGCCACTGACACTGGGTAGAATACAGACAGGTTTGTCGCTTCCTCAGAAAAATGACCCATCCTTCTTTTCTGGTACCATCCCACAGGATCAGATGACAAATAGCTTCTCCAGTGAGAAACAGTCTCCCTTGATCCTGCAGCCTGGCTTTAGGGGCAGTCTACCTCTTTGTATTCTTTCTCTTTCTCTCTTGTTTCTCAGATCAGTGCTACACTGGCAGAGTCAAGTGACTACAAGGCAGAAGTCCTTTCACCAGGGGAAAACACAGGAAGAGTGTGTGCCAATGAAAGAAAAACCTATATTTGGGCTGTTAGCCCACACAGACTTGGTAAGCTTGTCTTTTTGTCACCCCGATATATCCCTTTATCTTTTCTACCTTTGTCACTCCCAGTCTTCAATGAAACATCAATAATCCACAGACAGGCATTATGGAGCTGCTCCATTAATTGCTCGTCAAATTTACCATTGGACCTTGGCTAAATTTGCTTTATATGTACTGAAGGGGGAGTGAACGGGTGTTTTATCTCTTCTGATTTTTACCAGTCCATTTCTTGTCTGTATTAGGAAGGATTGTTCAGCTTATTTCATTATATGTGAAATACTGGTAGGATTTCTGTGCTATGATCTTTCTATTCACAGTGCCTACTTTTTTGCATATGCGGAACTTGCCACTCCTCTGCAGAGGAGTGGCCTTCTGATCACCAGCTTCTAGACTTTGACAGTTTGGACATCTAACCAACCATATTCAGTAATAATAAAATTCACAAATAATTTTGGGCTAGATTTTCAATGGTCTAGAATGGCATTGCTTCTCCCTTATTTTACATTGCCTGCAAGTCAACATTGTCTTTTAAAAAGCAGTTACAATGGTTTGCATATGTACATCCCCACACAGTATTAAAAAAAAAATCACTTTTAATTTCCAAAGCGGGTCAGAATGAACCACAGATGGGCCTTTTCTTTAAAAAGTTGTTTCTAAAACTGCAGAGGAAGTATATTAGTATGACTGATTTCTTCCAAACTCATTGATAAAGGAGCAAACTTACACTGAAATGAAAACTGATATACAAATAGTGCTTGCAAGGCTGAAAAAAAGCAAGGTGCTATCTCTCCCTAATAACTTTTATGTTATTACATTTTGTTCCAATTAAAAAATTCCTTTGGATTTCCAGTGTGCAATGATTGCAGAGGTGAAGTGAGCAGTGCCTGCCAAGCTGCTCCTGTTGATGGCCTCTGAGTTATCTCTTGATTAATAAATTATGTATGCAGGATAGAGGCAGCAGAGCTATAAGTATTCCAACACTGTCCTAGGCCAGAGAGAATTGGGCGCGGGGCTGAGAAGAGATGGAAATTGGTAATGAGTATGGTCAGTTGTTTAGGCAGGATCTTGATTTTATTCCTTGTACCAGGACTGCAGGCAACCACTTCTTGCTGCTAATGCACAGATCTGGAGCCTTAATGAAATTTATTCTTCTTGAACTGCCTTGGGAGGGAATACATTTCTCAGCAGTCCAGCCTGGAAGGAGGTGCTAAAAACAGGCGTGACTGTAGACATTGAAGATAAATTTCTTTTCTTAGGCAGTGGGGCTGGGTGGGTTCCAGGTGAGGAGAATTTCATAGTTACTGCTGAAGTCACACTGAAAATGAATTTCCTTTCTTGGGCTGGTGGCTGGATTTCCAGGTGAGGTGAAGTTCACAATTACTGCTGAGGCTAAACTGAATGCTGGAGCTGCTGGACACAGCACATCCTCGGAAGAGGAAACAATTCACAGGGACACCCTGATTCAAACTCTACTAGTTGAGGTATGGTAGAAAATCGGTATATATTTTCTGCTTTCAGGAAAATGCAATTTCTATAGCTGGGGGTTAGATGCAGTTAGCTACTGCAAGGAGGCAAGATTCATGACAATGGTGGAGCTACATACGACTGACTTTTCCACATGTAACTCAGAGCGGAATTTACAATAGTGACATCTACACTCTTCCTGTCACTACGTCTTTCCTGGGACCAAAAGTATCCATTCCTTACCCATATGTGCCTTTAACCTGTGACTCTACTAATACTGTGGCGGGGCGGGGAAGGGGATATGAAGAGGAAGTGTGGATATGAAAGGAGTAAGATTTATCTTGAGCACCATAAAGCAGCAGCTACAGAAGATTAGTTAGATAGAGACACCCCCAACTTTTTTCCTGCAGTTCCTCTTGGAGGTTGGAACTGACTATAGTGTTCATTTTATAGCTGCTTTCTAAGAAGGAAGGTGCTCTGGACAGTCAGTTAGGTAAGAAAGAGAGAGAGCCATGTATCAAGAGATATTCCACTGAAGACAGGGCAGGACTGTGTATAAGGGATGAACTGTCAGGACAACCACATTCATGTAGTATTTTACACTGTTAAATTGCTCCTGAGTTCATGGTGATGTTCTACACCTTTGTTTCTCTCCCTGACCATTTCCCTGCAATCAAACAGCCTGAAGGCATTAAAAAAGAATTGACTTGGAGCTCCCTCGTCTGTACAAAAGGTAAGGCAGGTGCATAACACTCATTCCACTGAGTGAGTTGAACTACTTCACTCTGTCTTGTATAAGTTTTGTCCTACAAACCAGAGACCCCTTCTGGGGAGAAAGGACGATCTCAAGGTTAAGGTACTGGATTATAGTTCAGTATATTCATAGATACCTTTGACTCAGTCTCTCCAGTTTCCTCATCCAGGCTGCAGATTGTAGCAGTCATTGTAATAAGACTTGCAAACTGCACACTTCTGAGAAAAAAGATGTTTTTTATCATTCTTATTGTTACATTTTATCATCAGACAAAACAGTTTCTGAACCAGTGGCACTCAACCTGCCAGCAAACGTGGTGCAGGGATCAGCCAGAGCTTATTTTTCCGTCATCGGTAAGTTTAGTACTTAGATTGAAATTGAAATGGAATGATTTTTCCTTTATGCTGCACCCAGTGCCATCATGCATAAACGTGGAAAATTAATGCAAAGTTGAGGAGATACTTCATCCTATTTTTATAGAAAATGTTTCCTACTTTGTAAAATGACAAAGGCAAGAGTTGCTCAGTACTCTGCCATATTACATCAAAACATGACAGAACAATATATTAAAAATATTTCAATTTACATCACACTTCAGTTTATACCACATTACCATATACTGTTCTGTATATTAAAACAGTTAATTCAGCTGAAAAGTAAGATAAAGCAGATATCTTTGAAAAAATATTATTTTAATTTATTGGAAAAAAAAATCACAATCTTACTGACTGCAAAATTTCAAGTTTATGCTTTGCATAATGAAAAATATTTGCAAACTTTTATGTTCCTATAGAATAAGACTTTTAGGTCCCAATCAGTTCTACTAATCTTCAAGTCCTTATTAAGCCTGGCAGTTCTCTTCAGTGCAAATTTTATGAGGTTCTGAACTCAGATTAAAAAAATATATGTCTTGCATGCCTGGGTCTGTGTGAAGTGTGTTGACATCATGAAATGAAGCCACATGTTCCCAAGCCCTGTCCTCACATGTACACGTTAAATGTGATGCATGTTGAAAAGCCAGGAAATGCCCTTTTTAGGGGTTAATAGCTATTTCTTAGAATCCACATTCCTTTTCATATTCTCAGATTTTGTCGTGTAACTACTATTTCTAAATCAAAATTGGGTGTTTTCAGCATTTCTTCTTGGCTGTGGCTTCGCATACCATGCTGTGATTTCTCTATCAGTCATTGCCCATAAATTCATAATCTGGTAATTTAAAGCAATGTATAATGTTATGTATTAAAAAACATTTTTGAACTGCACTCCTCATACAGGCTATATAACTCCTTATATCTTTCATTCTCCAGGGGACATTTTGGGCACAGCCCTGAGGAACATGGAGAACCTGCTCCATATGCCTTATGGCTGTGGAGAACAGAACATGGCCTTGTTCACACCCAACATCTATGCCCTGGATTATCTGAATAAAATCGGGCAGCTGACTGAAGAGATTAGAGCCAAGGGTACTGGATATTTATCCAGAGGTGAGAGCTTTTCAGATTCTCCCATCTCATTTTGTGACTGTGCATGCTGAACTCTATGGATTGCGAACACTGATCTCTGAATTCTAGCACCACATTTACTGCATCAGAACTGACGGTGAGAGTACCCCAAAGAAGCATTTGGTACTTCCAGGAGCAGCTACAATTCATAATAGCTGATATGATTTACCAGACTTCCATTACTTAATCTGAAGTCCTAAAGTCTTACTGCTTCAGTTGAACAAACAGCAGAATTAGACCTTTATTATGATTAGAAAATGTCTTCTTTCTTATGTCTTCAGGGTACCAAAAACAGCTATCATACAAACATCGAGATGGATCCTACAGCTCGTTTGGGACAAGAGATAGGGAAGGGAGCATATGGTGAGTGTTGACACTTCCTAAGATTCCTGAGCTAGAGAAACAGACTTGGAAGCATAATCAAAGCACTGTTATTTTTAATAAGCTAAATGATCACAGCTCACACTTGGACCACAGAATCATAGAATTGTTGAGGTTGGAAGGGACCTCTGGAGATCATCTTGTCCAACCCCCCTGCTCATACAGGGTCACCAAGAGCACATGACCCAGGATTGCGTCCAGACAGCTTTTGAATATCTCCAAAGAAGGAGACTCCACTACCTCTTTGGGCAACCTGGTCCAGGGCTCAGTCACCCTCAATACAAGAGATGTTAACAAACTGGAGAGAGTGCAACAGAAATAAGATAAAATGGTCAGGGAGCTGGAGCACATACTGTTCAAAGAGAAGCTGAAGGAATTATATTTGTTCAGCCTGCAGAAAAGAAGGCTAATGGTGAACCTAGTCGCAGTCTACCACTACCCAGCTGGGGGCTGCAGAAAAGGGAGTCAGGCTCTTCTCAGCGGTGCATAGAGAAAGGACAAGAAGTAACACGCAGAAGCTGCAATGGGGAAAACTCCAATTGGACAGAAGGAGAAAAAAAAAAGTCTTCCCCAGGAGAGTGGTGGAGCACTGGAACAGGTGCCCATAGAGGGTGTGGAATCTCCATCCCTGGAGATTTTCAAAACCTCACTGGACAAGGCCCTGGGCAAGCTGATTGAGCATTGAAGTCAGCCCTAATCTGAGCAGGTGGCTGGACTGGAGACCTCCAGTTTTCCTTTCTGCCTAGATTATTTCATGATTCTATTAATTAAGGTTATACATTTCTATCATCAATCACCAAGCTGTATCTATACTTTAGTGATATGCTGCAGGAGTGGCTTTAGCACAGTAATGGAGAAATCTCTGCTCAGTTTTTATTGCTACGATTTTAACTACTCTGTTATCTAAAACTAATGAAACGCTTGTTTCTTTTGCCTTATGGAGTTCATTCTGTGCATTCCCTGTGCATGTCCAGTTGCTGGTAAGCCTTTATGATCTTGTTCACACCTTGTCTCCTTTTTGTTTATGGTTGACCTTCAGGCTCACTGCCTTTGTATACAAGTCATTTGCACAAGCCAAACGCTACATCTACATTGACAACACCGTCCAATCTCAAACCTTGATCTGGCTGGCAAGCAAGCAGAAGTCTGATGGCTGCTTTGAAAATGCTGGGTCCCATTTCAACAATGCTTTGAAGGTGACTGAGCTCAGTATGTTCCTAAGCTTCCAGACCTGCCATTGTGGTAGAGTTGGGTCACTTCTGCTAGTTGCAGCTTATCACCACACCCTTATTCTGTCACATTAGACTAGGTAGTGCAGCTCCATGCCCCCAAGACCAACCAGCAGTGAGACTTAGCATATATTCCCAACAGGCACACACACAAACAGATGTACACAATTCACATCTAGACATACACACACCAGCCATACAGGTCAACACAGACAGAAATACTCAGCACTCAAACACAAACAGCACCAAGGGCCTCGTCCTTTTCCTCTCTCTGGCTGATCAGGCTGAAGGTCCATTAGTGGGAAATATATATATATATGTATGTACAATGTAAATCCTCCAGTAGCTGAGCTTTGACACTCAACCATCCTAGCAACTGCCCCAGTCTTCTCATGTGCTGGAAGCTGGGCATATAAGCCCTGAGACACGTAGCCCCACTCCAGTTGCTGGTACACCCCCCCCCCACACACAGATACACACAGACATATATAGACAGGCACACTGGATTCCTCAGTAGTTGGCCTTGGACACACAGTCTGTCCAGTAGCTGGCCCATGGATCCCCAGTCTTCCCGGTTACTGCCACCTGGGCATGTGAGTCCCTGAGGCCCACAGCCCCACGCCAGCTGCTGGTATGGACCACCTTATACACATCAACACACACACCAACACAAACACACACTCACTGTGGATGCTTCCAGTAACTTGGCTTAAACACACAGTCCATTCAGTAGCTGGATCTAGATCTGAGCTATCCCCAGGTGCTTCACACCCAGAGACACACAAACATGCATATACACCCAAAGATAAATGGGTCTTTCAGTTGACCCCCCAGAACCCATGGTCTCTCTAGTCTGGCTGAATCTGATTATGAATGCATTCATATTTTGTTTCATTTTAAGATAGCTGTACTCTCCTGTTCTTTGCTTGTGTTTTCTTTAGGGTGGAAAGGAAGGAGAATACTCACTCACAGCTTATGTCATGGTAGCCTTGCTGGAGGCTGGACACCCTGTTGTGGTAGGTATTTGATGCTTTTCTGCTTTATTAGTCTGATCAGGCACGTGTCAAACAGTGCATAGGTGAAAGTCATCACATCTGTATTCTTTAACAGTGTCATAAATATTGATTCTAGGATACCAAGCCTTTGTATGGTCAGCTCAAGAAATCTGTTTCCAGAACCCTGCAGTGCCATGAGCATTTGATGTGTGTTACAGATTAGTTATGTATCCAGTTCCTATGAATTCATATGAAGGTGAAAAATCATAATCTCCAGACCTACAAACTTTCTCTATACACACAGATCCAAGCTGTGTATCCATTTCCCTTTGCCATTGTTAATAATGGAAGGAAATGATAAGCTGCTGCTTAGAATACTTGCTAGGAGTTGGGGTATTAGAGCTGATTTCTGTTCTCTGCAATATACTTTCTGTATATCCTTGAGACTATGACCTGATTCTTCGCTTCTTTGTAAAATGAGGAAGGAGGTACAAATTGTTCCCAATTTGAAAAGTGTGTTCTAGGCACACAGAGTTTTGCAAGACCTTCTCATACTGTAGCATGGGGAATAATTGTAAGTACAAGATGTAAGAAGTAAGTAGGCAAGATAAAAACATTGTGCAGGATCAAATATTACTTCAGCAACATGGGTTTAGATCCTGTTATGTTCATATGAAGCTCCTAAACCTGGTGGCACATCTGTGAGGTTCTACAGAGAGACTGTGGTTAGTAGTCTGCTGGTGATGTCTGAGCTCAACTAGAGTTCACAGAGATAGTCTATGAAGCTAAAAGGGCTGAAAAACTATCTTGATAGCTTCAGTGAGCAAATGAGTAATAATACCCATCTGAAAAGGCCCGTTTCATCTTGAGGTCTCAATACAACTTACATAGCTCTGTAAAAATGATCCCCATTTTACAGCAGAGGATTGACCTGCATAAGGTCATCCCACAAGTCAGGAAAAGAACCAATGCTCTGTTAATCTGGCCATGCTGCCTCCAAATAAATACAGAAAGAAGGCAGCATTGCTGCATGGTCACTTTTAACAGGAGATGTAAGGTGCAGGCCCTTAAACATGCCATGTGTATACTTTTAGCATAAAGTGTCAGTGATGTTACATTAAGCAGTGTTGGAAGTCTTTAAGGAGAAGCTGAGGCACAAACCTGACAACCCTATTATGTTTTGCATTACTAGCATCCTGTGGTTCAGAACGGCATGAACTGTTTGGAGACTGCATTTAACAAAGGGGTCCACAACACTTATACCCAGGCCCTTCTTGCCTATACTTATGGCTTAGCTGACAAAGAGAAAAAACAGCAATTCTTTCTTGAGAAGCTCGACAAAACAGCTACCAGAATTGGTAAGTGATGTATGGCCGTGATACAGGCAATACAACCGGTGGAATGGCTTGTTGTATGATATAAGTTATTCTGATGGTCAGTATTCTCATTCATGCTGCTCTCTTCCCATTCCCTGTCTGCTGTGCTACTGGATTTCTCCCTAAACTGATGTGATGTCTATGAACTTCTCTATCTGTATCTCTTGGCCTCACTAAAGGGTGAACTGTGGCCTGATGTTCTTAGAGTTATGAAAGGCAGAAAGGAACTTCTGGAGGTCTCCAGTCCAGCCACCTGCTCAGATTAGGGCTGACTTCAATGCTCAATCAGCTTGCCCAGGGCCTTGTCCAGTGAGGTTTTGAAAATCTCCAGGGATGGAGATTCCACACCCTCTATGGGCACCTGTTCCAGTGCTCCACCACTCTCCTGGGGAAGACTTTTTTTTTTCTCCTTCTGTCCAATTGGAGTTTTCCCCATTGCAGCTTCTGCATGTTACTTCTTGTCCTTTCTCTATGCACCGCTGAGAAGAGCCTGACTCCCTTTTCTGCAGCCCCCAGCTGGGTAGTGGTAGACTGCGACTAGGTTCACCATTAGCCTTCTTTTCTGCAGGCTGAGCAATCCATTTCCCTTGGCTTCTTCACATACACCCTGTGCTCCAGCCACCTGACCATTTTAGCATCCCTCTGCTGCACTTTCAAGCCTCCTTTGATTTATACAGCTCACTTTCATTAATACCCTTTGCATCCCTTTCTCTTTGCTTTTCCTTTCTTGAACTAAAAAGCCATCATGTGCAGCACATTGAAATCTGTAAAACCTTCTGGGCAAGGGAAGAGAAAGAATAGTATGCCTGTCTCCCAAATGATACTGTCATGGATTAGCCAGCAAGTCTTATTTTCATTCTCCTTACACCCTACCTTTCTGCTTTCAGGTGGTTCAGTTCACTGGGAGAGAGAAAACAAGCCACCAGCAGAACATTTCCCTGCCTTCTATTCCCGTGCCCCTTCTGCTGAAATTGAAATGACCAGCTATGTTCTGCTGGCTCTGCTCAACAAAACCAAGCTCACTCCAGAAGAATTATCAAACGCTTCTCGCATTGTGCACTGGCTTGTCAAACAACAGAATCCCTATGGTGGTTTTTCCTCTAGCCAGGTGACAATTAGGGGTGATTTAAAACAACAACAACAACAACAAACTTCTGGGAACAGTCTGCTGTTGCAGCTTACAGGCTGTATCTCAATATTATCATATTTCTTCCTGATTGTATATATTTTGAATAATGCTTGATGAATGGTGCTTGCAGAAGTCTCCTTGACAGGGCACATCATGCTCTTCGTAGGCAGCTTCTTATATTTTTTAGTCTTAGGAAATGAGAATTTACCTGAGTTTACACATCAAATTAGCAGTAGACAGCAGTCATAAAGGTGTTCTGAGATATTCAAGTCCATTGCCCCAGAACTTGCAGCTCTTTTCAAAGTCCTCCTCCATTTAGGGGCACTGACAAAGTGCTGGGGAAATAGGAGCTGTGCTAATCTCATGCACCATCTCACAGTTGGGAACCTCTCTAATTAGGGATCATGTTGGTTTTTTTTTCAGGACACTGTTGTTGCTCTGCAAGCTTTGGCTCAGTATGGGTACCTCACCTTCTCTAAGAAAAGTCTTAATACAATCAAAGTCAGCTTCATGCAGCTCCCAAGTAAGGTTTTCCAGGTGAATGACAAGAATCGCTTCTTACTGCAGCAGGCTTCTTTGCCTACTATCCCAGGGAATTACAGTGTGGAAGTGAATGGCACCGGTTGTGTCTATCTGCAGGTAAAGAAGCTGAAACTCAGCACCACCTAGCTGAAGACTCAGCAGACTTTCTCTCCATGCCTCATGCCAAACCCACAACAAACTGTAGATCTGTGACCATCTCACACTTTCCATTTCTTTTAGACAACCCTGAGATACAACATCCACCTACCCAAAAAGGTTGCAGGATTTTCTCTCTCTGTACGGCCAGACAATGTGTCCTGCACAGGCAACTTCCCACCGAAGTTTGACCTTGTCCTCTCTGCCAGGTAACTTCTTATTGACCACTTCCTTGCATGCTCAGCTGGGTAAAGCATCCAGGGAAGGATTTACATGCAGGCAGTTAACTGCTACTGTGCAGCTGCAGGAAGACAAACAGGATTATATCTTGAAGAACTCTCATTCTTCCTTGCTAAATTTCACACATTTGCTGTAAGCAAGTGGAACACCAGAACCATCCAGTACAGAGATTATCTGAGTTTTCTGTGGGTGGAAGCTGAAAATGTCATTCACTGGTCTCCTCCCTGATTGCAGTTCAGATAAGCAGAGCTTTTTTCTTTTCAGTTACACAGGAAATCGCAATGTCTCCAACATGGCCATTATTGATGTGAAGATGCTCTCAGGTTTCGTTCCCATCAGATCTTCCCTGAAAAAGGTAAAGAATGGGAGCAAAGTAATTGATCCACCTTGAAAATATAGGAGGTTGATAAAAATAGTGTCTGATTAGCAAATTGTAGCATCATGGAAATTCTGCAAAATCCCCCAGGTGCAGCCTTCTGCCATATACTCTCTGTTTCAGACTGATAACTCTTCATCTGTTGAAGATAGATCTGTTAAGAGTTGCCAAATCCAGTAGCCCAACAGAGGTGAGGCTGCCACAACTTCCTGTCCCCAGGTCCAGCCAGCAGTGAGGCCAAGTACATATTCCCAATAGGCACATGTGAACACAACACGTATATATACGTAGGTATGCATCCAGCCACACAGATCAACAGATACAAAAGAAGCAGCACTCACACAAATACAAATAACACAAATGGTCTTATCCTGTTCCCTTTTCTGGCTGATCAGGAAGAAAGCCCATTAGTGGAAAATATATACATAGCTATTAATACATACAATATGGATCCCTTCAGTAGCTGGTCTTAGACACTCAATTTATCCGATAGCTAGCCCCTGGATCCTTATTCTCCACAGTTGTTGGCACCTGGACACATAGGCCCTCGAGGGCCATAGCCCCACTCCATTTGTTAGTACTCAGACCCTCTCGCGTGAATACTTATCCCCCTGTGGATCCCTCCAGTAACTGGCCTTAGACACTGAAGTCTCCCCAGTAGCTGCCAGTTGCTTCTCACACACACACACACCTATATACACACACGCACACACACATCCATGCAGGCGCACAGGCAAATGAGCCTCTCTGCTAGTTGATCCAGACCTATGGCCTTCTCAATAGCCATCCCTAGGTCTTACTGTCTCTACAGTGGCTGGCTTGGACATCCTGGTACCTCAAGTAGCCAACTCTCAGACCCTCTAGTCTCTCCAGTATGCAGTCCAAACTTATGCTCTCTTCAATACCTGGCTGCCAAGCCACTTATCTCACTTGTCAGATAGTTCAGCTTGGTATTTGCTAGCGATCACACGCTGACATACACACCCACACACTATGCATTCACTCTGGTCCCTATGGTCCCCTCTCCAGTGGCTGGCACTAAGACATCCATAAGCACACATTCGCACAGAATAGAGTGTCCCCTCACCCAGGGAGATAGTTAGAAATGGAGTTTAATAAGAAGACTGGACAGATTGTGCTGACCAGGTGCAGGGCACGGCCAGAAAAGCATACTGACCAGCAACTTATTTACACAAAACTAGCCCATTTTATCCCATTTTCCCTCTATTTTGTGATGTTGTTCCTCCTCAATCCACCTTCATCCCTCCCTTTCCCATCTGTGGTTCTTCCCCTTACAATCCCATAGCAAGTCTTGCATGATTCCAAAATGCTCTTCCCTGTATCCTATAGTGTATCCTATAGTGTGTCCCATACCCCTATAGGGGGCATCTCCCCTCAGTCTGCAAGGTGATCCAGGGGTCCTCTCCTCTTGATTCACCTGGTAGGTCCCATGCCCAGAAAATGGAGATCATCGCTGTCTTGTGAGGGCCCTCGGAGGAGCTGGGTCAGCCCTGTTTGCTCTGATTAGGTTACTGGGGTTCCTCTGCTTGCCATTGTTCCTCTTTGCTCCTTTGTGTTAATGGAGATGAGCCTTTAGTCACATGATCTAACTAAATCTATGTAGGAAATGGCATTGTTCAATTGCTTAACACAGGCCTTTTGCCCTCTTAGTCCTCTGAGATGATTATTCATTCCTATCTAGACATCCAGTATGTGATTGTGCTAATATATGTTCAGTGCAGTTTAACAAACACAGAAAAAGTGGGTATTGCTCTTCAATTACTATCCACAAATTTGGTCATGATGATGATAATACTGAGAAGAGCTTTGATAATCAACTTGTTTCAGTTCCCAATGCAATTCAGGTTCTACAACAGATGTATTACCTTCAAGCCATGCATCTTTTCTTCAAGTAGATAAAAAGAGATTTGGTCTGGAAGAGTACAATTAATTGCAGAGTCTGCTCATAGCATTTCTACTGAGTCATCACTCAAGTTTGAATTTCTTTGTATGAAATTCATAACTTTTCTTTGAAAGATTTTTTCATTGAATGCATATATATATATATATACACTTGGTAAAAATATAGCTGTTATTTAATATTTGGAATATTTTATTTTTGTATATTTTCATGGTAAAATAATTCTGCTCACATGGTTTTAATAAAACCTTTAAAAATATTTTTAAATATACAATTCACTAAAAAGTGAGTCAGTTTAAGCTGCAGAAATGATCAAATCATCACAAATTCTCACCGAAATGAGGGCACTGTTAAGCTGATAAAAAAATGCACACACACCAAACCTGACTAATAGAGGCAGTTTATTTTTCATTGTTTCATTGATTTGCACTTGCCACCTCATGAAAATACAGAACTACTCCTTTTACGCTTCTTATTTTGGCCATGAGATGTCATGGTGACACAACAGGAACAAGGCAACTGCTTCAAACATACTTTGCCAAGAAATGGTTATTTGTACTTACTTGGCACATCTCCTATGTTAAAATCACTAACATTTATTTTATTTTAAGCTTCAATACCATGATTCTATTGTGGCTCAAGTAGACATCAAGAACAACCACATCCTCTTCTATCTGCAGAAAGTAAGTTTGGGGAGGGGGTTGTCTTTGGTTTTATTAAACTGGAAGTTTGAAACAGGCTCCAAGATAAAACAGAAATTTCATCCATAGCAGATTAGCAATATATGTATCTTAAAGAAGCAAAAGGACTGCACTCATTCCATCATCAGTAAATGTCTTGTTCTCCTGACCTAGTCATAGTATATAGCCTCAAGTACTCTGTTAGGCATATTCTTTTGTCTACTTTACCAAAATAAGTAGAGTACAGATCTACAGAAACACAATAGTTATAGTCTATTGTGAAGAAAGATATGTATTTATTACTGCTCTTTATGAAGAATGCTGCATGACTAAGTAGTATTTCACAAACATAGCTAAGTTGCATTCCCTGTTGCAAAAAATTCAAAGTCTATGTAATAATCCTCAGCTTCAGTTATCTCCGAGTGTTTTACAGAGAGTCAACAACATGAAGAGACTTCTGTAGAAAGAGAATACTCCTTCCACACTAAAGACTTACTAATAAAAGGAATGAAAAAAGATGAAAATCATTTAAAACACAAGGGATCTTAAAATGCCCAGAGGGGAAGGAGAGAGAAAGTAAAAAGAAATAGTAATGATATCTACCTCTCGAATAGTAATTTTTATCAATTGATCTCCAAAAGTCTTAAAAGGAATATTAGAGTAAGGATTGCATAATCACAGACAGAGAAGCTGAGATGTGGAGATGTGAAAGATCTTCCCCAAGTTCACCTAGCAGGGCATCAGTGTTGGAGAATGTTCTCCAGAGTCCCTGTCCAGTGCTCCATTCCTATAAAGAGACTGGTGAGATAACAACAAGGACAAAGGGAGACAAGGGCAGGGGCAGAGTCCCAGGCATGCAGAGGAAAGACTGAAGCTGAGGAAGATGAGGAAGGAAGAAAGTTTGGGAAGTCTGACTGCAAGAGCACAGAATGAGGAACAGAACCACAGAGGAGGTTGGGGATCTTGAATTCAATGTCATGAGAGAGAGGAAAGTAGTGAGGAAGTTCAGACAGGTACTGAAGGTGGTTTAAGCTAGGAAAGGACAAGGAAAGGGACTGAAAGCAACTTGCAGTCACAGGATGATTGTGTGTTGAAAGCAGCAGTATTCAGGGCATGACTGGAGTATTTGGCAGAGAAAATAGGAAGAGGAAACAAAAGGACATACAAACTTATCAACAAAAGGTATTTAGCAACAGATTTTAAGCAATTATCTGTTTTGACATCAAGTATACAAGCTGGAAAGGAGAATGGCACTTTGTCACCCACTCTGACCTAGAAATGTATCTATTCAGCTTTAGACTTAGGAGTAGATAGAAAAAGTCTGATGTGTTTTCTTGCCCTTCTGTTTCCAGGTGTTCCAGAAGGAAATCAGTTTCTCCTTCAGTGTGGAGCAAAGCCTGCCTGTGTCAGATATTAAAGCAGCCTCTGTACATATTTATGACTACTACGAAACAGGTGGGCAACCTCAGTAGGCCTGAGAAAAACCTATGAAATCAAACTACTGATCTCAGTATTTGCAAGATGAGGACAGTAGATTTTCCCTTGCTGTTTCTGTGCAAGTTTCTCTTCCCCTTTCTGCATTTGCTGCCTTTGTTTCTCAGGAGAGGTGAGTAGACAGCAAGCTAGTGATTCTGCTGCTTTCAAGCAGTCCTTACTTGTTACTAGACTGCAAAGGGATTGCAAAGGTGTATAGAGTTTCTTTCCCACATCTTTTCATTTCTATTTGCATTTTAACATAAAGCAGCTTAGAAAGTGATAGAGCAAGAGTACTTTCTTTACAAACCTACAGAAATAAGTATGGTTCCACATAAATGTTCTGGCCCATCTTGTATACTTGTTTTACATTGCCAGAGTAGGCTGTGGCCAAATAACTGTTCTATAGTAGAATTTAAATACTTAAGTGGGAATTACAGTTTAAGCATCTAACTAGAATATTAAGTGCCTGAACTCCTTTCTAGATCTGACCTCAAAGAACTACAAAGGCAATAGACATTATTCAGTTGCGGTAGTTATGTTATCAAAACTGTGCATCAAATTCCCATATGCTTTTCTCAGGCTTGGTATAACCTTTGGAAAGTGCCTTTTAGCAAATTAGCAGCAGTATCCAGATAATTCTATCTGGTGTGTGCATTCTGTCACCTGATACACATCCTATATAGTCACAGTGATGATGTGTCCTGCCAAACACTGCCAGAAGAGTGTATTGGGCACTGACTTTGCAACCCTAGAATTGGGTGCCTTGACAAGTGGAAGGCTACAGCAAAATCTGTCAGATATTTAATGGTTCGGCATAACGTGTTAATCACTAGTGCACATGAACTGGGATCAGAATGACTTCTCACTCTCATATAAATATCATCTTCCTTTTCTCTTTCTAGATGAATATGCCCTTGCAGAATACAAAACACCCTGCTCCCAGCCTTCCAACTGATATCAGAGACATGTCAGAAGAGGTGATAGGTCAGAAGGTAACAGGCAAGCATTAGTGAGAGAATAAGAGGATAAGAGAAATGGTTGTTCCTTGGGATGGCAGTGACAAGCACACAGAATAATGACAAATAAGTAAATCCCAAATTGTTGTAGATCAGAATGACCCATTCTGACCCACACGTCAAAAGTACTTGGGGTCAGTGTGGATAAGAAATTTCAAATGAAGTACTTTTCCTAACAAGGGAGATACTGTGGAATTGCTATCCATGACCATCTATCTTTTTGGAAACTCACGATATATATTTCAGTGGGAGATTTGAGTAAGAGTAAATTATTGAAATTTGTATTTCTGGCAACAGATTTGTCTTAAGAAATCTAAGATTAGGAGAAAAAAACTTTCTGCTACTGCTTCTTTTGAGGATTTAAAATTTTTTTTGATCTTTTTATTTATCCCGATGAAAGAGTTCAAAGACGTGACTTTGATACTCCCTCTTTTTAGTGATTGATCTTGGAGAGCACTGTTTAAAGATGTGGAACTTCTAGTCATAGGAAGACAACTTTTATGTAATTTTAGGAAGACAACTTTTATGTAATTTTGGTCTCTATTTAGAAAGAAAGCTTCTCTCCAGATCAATGTCTCATATTCTACTATTCTTTGGAATTAAACCCTCTGATTGTTAAAGGTATTTGTCCCAGTCTCGACTCTTTGTTGTATCTATCACTGGATGCTGTAAGATATAACCTAATAATATCATATTATGCACCAAATGATCAATGATATCCTGAGGCACAGACAGGATCAGGTCCTTGCCTTTTCTGATGGAAGCTTCACAGCCAAAGCAGAGGTCTATCTCTGGCCACATTGGACCTGCCACAGCTGCTGATCAGTGTGTGCCCAGGAGAACCCTTTCACACATGCAGAGCCTATACTCTCTATTTCATCAACTGTCTCATCTTCTGTGCTCACATGCATACTGTGCCCAGGAGCTCCTGATCACCCTTTGATCTGTGATGTGCAGGAAGCTGTTCAAAGCTACAGGAGTCTCGCCCAGTTGATTACATAAAATGAATTCTAAACATCAGCAAGGACAGGATGCAAATAGAACAGTACAAGTTGGATAGTCTAAGCTAAAAGAACTGAGAAGTGGATTGGTCCTCAGAGTTTCAAGTAAAGTCATGGGTTAGCATTGTAGTAAACTGATTCAGTGGAAAACCTGGGACTGCCCAAAGCTGCAAGCAGGAAGACTGTATCTGACACACAGATCCCCAGAAGCATCATCTTAACCTACTGTAGGAGCTAACTTATAATATATGGCTACCATAAACACAGGGCTTTATAAGGAAGGTTTAAAGGGAAAAACATCAGGATTTGCCCAAGGGGAAGAGAGCAAAGCAGGAGTTAAAAATGAGTCAAGAATGGGGAAGGAGGAAAGTGGTGTGTAAAGAGGAAAGACAATAGGAGAGAAACAGGAACCCAGTGAGAGGATGATCGTAATTGTGGAAAAAAACAGAGGAGGGTAACACAGACACCTTCCAGAAGGGGCTAGGAAGGACTGGTGAATCCCATGGAGCCCTTAGCTTTGGATGGAGAAAAATAGGAGGGTTTGAAGGGAGTGGAAAGGAAGAGAGCCAAGGGGAGCTTTTGATGGGGTGACAAAGTACAACAAATTTCCTGCCACGCTCTCTGCATTTAGTGAACAAGAGCAACAAACAGCCACATACTGGGGCTACAGATGCTCATAGCCTGCTTGGACCTGAAATGACTTGTCCTGACCACACCATCCTGGGGAAAGAGGCAGAAACCATTCACATATCCGTAACAATTTGAGCAGACATCTGCCCATTGAATCATACTGCTCAGCTGCTACATCTCCACTCTGGGATGCGAGAACATTGTCCTGACTAGTCTTGCAGGAAGTTATCTTATTTGCTATGAGAATGAGCTTCTCAAAGCAGATTTTGATTCCTACAAACAAACACTTTACTCCAATAGCAATATGTCTGCTGTGGGGGAGGCCATACAAGGAACAACAGCACAGGCAATGGTAAGAGAGGAGAAGCCCTTTGAACACCCTGAGAACACTGTTCAGTGAGATGTCAGGCTTGCCCAGAGATAGTTTACATGCAACTGAGCAGTACTGGAAGCTTTGTGCCAAGTGGCAGCTTGGCAGAAACCCACAGGCTTAATCTCAACCCAGAACGATGAAAAAGACATTTGGAAACTGTAGAAACACAGAAATGTTGGTTTGGAAGGGACGTGGGGAGGACACCGACTAAAACCTCCTGCTCCAGTCACAACTAACCAGTAGAAACCTTCAACCCATAGAAGTAGACAGTTCTGAAGGAAGAACCTCTACTTAGTTCCCAGGAACTCAGCACCCTGCAGCTGTCAACACTGGACAAGGTCACCTGTGGAATGCACACTCTGTAAGACAAGGACTAACTGCGAGCAATGTCTCTATACCTAGATATGTGACCCAAGTGATCAGATCACATTGAGACCTGCGTCCAGCCCTGTTTATCACTCGGTATGCTCTGCACTTACTGTTGCAGATCCCAGTCCCTCCACCACATTGCATCACTATTTCCTCCAAACTTTCTCTTCTTTTTCCCCATTTTCCTTTTTACAGTTCTTAGTTTTTTCAAATACATTACCCCTCATTATGAGCCTTGACTACTCTGTGAGTGAAGGGATTGTGGGGATGCAAGGACAGTCACTGTTCTTGTGTTGGACAGTCTTTGTGAACCCATCTCTGCTCAAGTGCCTTTCTGGATAAAGGGCAGGGGCTAGAGGCTGTGGCCTCATAGCTCATATTCCCAGAGAACCTGCCAAAGAGACCCCAGCTCTCTGGAATGCCAAATCACATTGCAGTTAAGCCAGCTAAGCAGACAGGTGTTGCAGAGTGGGGCTATCTCAGTCCTACTCAGCTTTTCCTGCTTTCTCTCCCACCCCTGCACTCCTGACCCTTGGGCTGGTGCTAGTGATCCCCCTCAGGGAGCAGGTCAGAGACAAGAAGCCAACTAAAAACTGATGTGATTTAGAAATAGAATATGTTTGTTTCCTTTGATCTCCTTGAACGGCTTGCGCTGGGGTCAGATAAGCACTATGCAGAAATGGATGCACTTGTCCCTTTCAGCAACAGTGAGGCATGGCATCAGATTGTCTGTATCAGAGACCCATGCTGCAAATCTTGGGAGCCTTTGTAGGGAGCAGTGCTGGCACTCCATCTCCTATCCCTATTTCCCTTCTTATAGCAGTTTTCCTTGGTGTGTGCTCTGTGGCATCTGGTTGCCAGTGTGATTTGTAACAAGTCTGAAGTTCCTCCTTCTCTCCATTCAGACACCCAATGACAGGATAAGTCTTCCTTTCCATTGCTATAATTGTCCTGCTTATGTTTATGAAGTTGAAAATAATGTCCTGGTACAGCCTAACAAAGCCAGAGAGCTCTGGTCTGTGAATGCTCAGAGTTCAGATCACAAAGATGGTAATAGGCATGTGTCTTATGACAGCCTTGGTACCTGAATGCCAGCCATCATCTAAAAAGAGAAATGGCCTGCACTGTGGTATTTCTACTCATATGAGAGTCCATCCTTTCTTCTCTTTGGAAATCCATTTCTATTTCCTCACACGTCCTATGAAGTTGTAGCTGTGAGCAAGTTGAGCTGTGCTCTGAAGACATGAAGGACTTACTTAAGAAAAAAAATCAACCAAATAATGAATCTTCTCTCCCTGCAGGGTCCCAGAGTCTGCTGGGTCTTACATTTCAGTAATTTCCACAGTTTTGTCTGTGAAGATGGTTTCACACCCTGAGGCCAAAGAATGGCTCTGTGCATGGCTGTCTCTGCTTGGTCATGCATCAACAGGTCCAAACAAATAAAAATCCTTCTGCCCAAATCTGGGTTGAAAGTTGGAGGGTAACTGGCCTAATTCTGGTTAAAACCCAGATGTCCTACCCCTACTCTTTCTGTTCCCATCAGAAGGTTCTCCCTGAGAATGACGCTTGACACTTGCTGAGGAACCAGCTACAGCTGTGAAGAAATTATGGTACTCAATGACCCCAGCCTCCCCCTCATCCCTGTCGGCAGAAAAGATCGTGTGAGCTTCAAGAGGGGTCAGTCAGACTAGCACAAACTACCTTATTCAGCTGTGTACTCTCAACCTGCTACTGAACAAAAGCCTTTATTCAATGTAATTCCAGTGAACGGCCAGCTGCAAGGCTGGGCAGATGAAAACTGATATGAAATGCAGCTTCTTTCAAAAGTGCGATTTACATCTTGTTACAGATCTCCAAAACCCTCAGCAATGTGTTCTGGGCTCAGAGGGAGGGGCTGGGACAATGCCAGCAGTATCTAGCAAAATCTGCTTTTTATAGCTTCATTTTACCTCTACAACTTTCCTCTTTTACTTCTAGCACAACTAGTCCTGTGACCTAGTGAATTTGTTCTCATGGAGCTTGCATCATATCAAGTCCTTGATGTGGAAATTCAGGAATCTACTCAATCCCAGTGCAAGTCAGATAAGTTGAACTATATTCCATGCTTTCATTGTATTGAGACTTGCATTTTGTTTGTTTGTCAGAGGTAAAAAATAGAGCTTTGGGCATTAGTGCCCTTGGCTTAGGCTCACTGTGTTACTTCTGCATATCTTTCTCTAACTCGTGAAGCTGAGAAATATGGCTACCTCCATATTATGCTGTTTTACATTCTTTCTCCCCAAGCATTGCTACCTAAGCAATTTTATGTATAGGTGATTTGTGAGTTCCATTAGAAGATCTTTTATTTTTTAAATGATGAGAAAAATTAGATCCTGCATATCTACAGCAGAAGCATATCACATGCAGTAACAATCAGGTCACCTTGCTATCGTCCAGTTGGTTGTCCGCTACAGTTTTTTTTCCTTACGAGTTCCATCTTTTTTGCACATGACAGCCACCCAACTCTAAACATAGCCTTCTAGAAAGAAAATTCCTTCCTGTAAAAAAAAAAAAAAGCTTACTTTAA